CTCCCTCCCTCCCCTCACCCCCCCTCTCCCTTCCTCCCTCCCTTCCTCCCTCCTCGTTTCCTGCCCTTCCCTGCCCTCCCTCTCTTTCCTGCCTTCTCCCTGCATCCCCATCCCTTTCACCCTGCCCCCAGCACATCTTCACCCTCACCCCTCCACCACCCTCCTCACCTTCCTTTGACCCGCGCTTCCAGCCCCCCAGCCACCACTCGCCCCTCTGCCTTCCCGCCTTCCATCCTTATCATCCTTATCATCTGTATCATACTTATCATCCTTATTATCCTTATCTTATCAACTGTTTCATCCTTATCATCTGTATCATCCTTGTCACCCTTATCATCTGTATCATCCTTATCATCCTTATCATCTGTATCATCCTTATCATCCTTATCATCATTGGCATCTGTACCATCCGCATCATCTGTATCATCCTTATCATCTGTATCATCCTTATCATCTGTATCATCCTTATCATCTGTATCATCCTTACCATCTGTATCATCCTTATCATCTGTATCATCCTTACCATCTGTATCATCCTTATCATCTGTATCATCCTTATCATCTGTATCATCCTTATCATCCTTATCATCCTTATCATCCTTATCATCTTTATCATCCTTATCATCCTTGTCATCTGTACCATCCGCATCGTCTGTATCATCCTTATCATCTGTATCATCCTTATCATCTGTATCATCCATATCATCTGTACCATCCGCATCATCTGTATCATCCTTATCATCTGTATCATGCTTATCATCTGTATCATTTTTATCATCTGTATCATCCTTATCATCTGTATCATCCTTATCATCTGTATCATCCTTACCATCTGTATCATCCTTATCATCTGTATCATCCTTATCATCTGTATCATCCTTATCATCCTTATCATCCTTATCATCCTTATCATCTTTATCATCCTTATCATCCTTGTCATCTGTACCATCCGCATCATCTGTATCATCCTTATCATCTGTATCATCCTTATCATCTGTATCATCCTTATCATCTGTACCATCCTTATCATCTGTATCATCCTTATCATCTGTATCATCCTTATCATCTGTATCATCTTTATCATCTGTAGCATCCTTATCATCTGTATCATCCTTATCATCTGCATCTTCCTTATCATCTGTATCATCCTTATCATCTGTATCATCCTTATCATCTGTAGCATCCTTAACATCTGTATCATCCTTATCATGTGTATCATCCTTTTTATGTGTATCACCCTTGTCATCCTTATCATGTTTGTCATTTGTGTCATACTTTACTTTCTTCATATTCGTAACACCAACACAAAATATTCCTGTGTTGTCTCATGGTTGATTAAATAGTATGTTGTTGTATGAGAACAGGCAAGTATTGAATTATTTTGCTTTATAGTACAAGATAATATACAATATAGTTTAATGTAGCATAATCATTGGTCAACACAGCTACTTATAGACTTAGTGTGCCATGCCACAAACTTGCAAGGTCATCGCCGAAACATCTGCATTACCTTTGGGATGTCAACAGGCGCGGACGGCTTGTTTATCGGACATGTCGTATAAGTCAGCTGCAGGTTCATGTGTTCCGGTATGCAAAGCGTGCCTGCATCTGCAAGGACATGAAGTTAAGCAGGAATCACAACAGTATCATGTTATGAGCCTTTTGCGGATCCGTGCAGCCTCCTATCCTTGTCTTCCGCAGCGCCATGCCGCCTATCACGGAGGAAGAGGCAAAGGAACTCCGACGCCGAACGGAGCGGAGCATGCGTGCTGACCACTCGAAGAGAACTCAAGCTCTTCGGCAGCAGTTCAAAAAGTCCGTGAACAAACTCCACGTCCTGGCAGACAAGATACGGGAATCACAGAAAGCGCGGCAGGCTGATGGCGAAGAGTTGTCCGTGGAGTTCAACCCGTCGCCGGTAGCCAAGGGCTGCACGGACGGCTCCTCTACCGGCGAGGACAGCTCTTCTTCGGAGGAAACACCGGTGGTTTCCCCGAAGAAGGAGCCACCGCCGCCCCCCACCCCGGCACTGCCAAAGGCACTTCCGGGCAAGGGGAAGCGGAAGGCGGAAGAGGTGAAGGAGAAGGAGGACAAGCCAGAGCAGCAGGGAGGACAGAAGAGAACCAGAACTCGGAAGACCGGTGACGACCGCCCGTTTGTCCCTCCCGGAGAGTTTGCTCCACTGCACCAGGGTAAGCCGAACGCCCAAGGCGAGCTTTACCCAGGTTTTTTGCAAAGTGACCCGCGGTACTGCGACGCATGCGAACAGCTGCGTCGCGGGTTTAAGAGTGCCACCAAGGCGCACAAACCCAAGCGCGGCTTTTGCGAGTGGGCCCCTAGGGCCAAAAAGAATGCATGACGGCGAAGTCGCATGCACCCAAAAAAACAAGTGAAGCGCACAGAGAGTTACAAGCCGCAGCGATAAGAAGTAAACCGCACGTGACAGGGCAGACCTGATCACGAAGATGGAAGATGCGCTGGAGGCGGGGGGCGGTGTGGAAGACAGGTGCTTGTGGAAGGACAGTCGTCGTAACGGCATCCATCTACTACGAAGCTATAACCTACCAAGCGAGATGCATATATTTACTAATGCACTGATGTCGATGGCATTGGCCAACATACACGTATGAATGCTCCGATGTCAATGGCATTGGCCAACATTCACGTATGAATGCTCCGCATTCGTGGCAGTGGCTGTCATACATGTAGGAATGCTTTGATGTCAATGGTATTGGTTCAAGACTGAACAGAACTGGCGTGGTGTGGCATTGGTAGCGGATGCCGTTGGCAAAGTCTTGTATACATCACACACATCGCTTTGGCAGCTGATACATTCATTTCGGCGGTCGTCCTGTAACTATTCGCGAGCGCTGGTCTCTAACACTTATAATGCAACCGGCTGGACTGAATTATGTTCCGTGCGCGCTTGCCGTATTTACTTATACGAAGTATGCTGGCGTAGAACAGAATTAATTGCATTCTGTTTTCAGGCTTGCTTGCCATGGGGGCCAATGGTGACCATTGTCCAGGCCGACTTATCATTCAACACGATTGCGAAGAGAAGCTGTCATTTGAGCTTTGCTGCAACTTCTATACATGCCGGCGCAGCTGTCATACGAATGCACACACGTATACATACACGTGCATGTGCATGATGCCGTAGCTTTCTGCTTGAGCATCAGCTTTCTTAGCTTTCCGTGTATCCCATTCACACCTGGAACCTCAGCCATATTCACTATGGCTTTTGATCCAGCAGGCCTGCCTCGGTGATTATTGCTTCGAAGCTGTAAAACGCAATGATCGTCTGCTTGTTTTCCCGGAAGGCTTCTCCGATATGAGCCCAGCACTGCTGGCATTCGGACGGTCCGTAATCATTACAGCTGCCAAGTTCACGTCACTTGGGTGCATGTTAGCGACTGAAATATATGTGTTCATACACAAAGAGACATGCGAGGGCTGTATAGTTAGAGTTCTTTATCTCAGGTTCAGCGAAGGCCGTGGGACTGCATATTGCCAGCGAAACCGGTCTCCCGTCCAGTCGATTGCCGCCAAGGCACACCACTCGCCTGTGTTTGATTCTTCTTCGGACGACGCCGCAGGAGTCATGTTTAAACAGGTTGGAATCCTCTCGGTCGCATTCGAACCGGGTGATGACGTTCACCTGCGGGGCTGCGACCATGCGCCGGGCTGGTGCACCTGGACTTAATCTATCGCTAATCGGTTCTCTTTTAGCAACACAATGTCGTGTGATGATGCGCGCACCTTGGAATGAAAACGAAGCACTGCAGGGTCGGACCTCATTCAACGAATCCACGAGAGAGTCACTCCGCCGCAAATAGTTTGCACATATACGTATCTTATCCATATTGTACTCGCACATCCAATGGACTGTGTGCTCGACTGGCGTCCCAGGCAAGACATGAAGCGTACAGTCAAGCTGAGCTGGCCGAATGCAGAGCCGACGCTGGATGCCGCCCGGCTATAGATGTGCAAGTCGAGGTTTTGTGTTTTTGCAAGCCACACTGCATGGACACTCAGGGTCGAGTTTCGCCCACATCGGGCAGAGAACGCGCGACAGCGCCTCTTGGTGTTACTCGTATGCAAGCAGCACTTAAATCCTGATGCCACACACTATATGATGTCTTCCTTTGCGTGTGAAGAATGTGAGGCGATCGCATTGTCATCAACAATTGCTGTTTCCCCAGCACCAGCAAGACACTGCGCCTCGTGGGAGAAGGACAATTTAGCATGTGTCGTCAGACATTATATCGTTTGAAGCATAACGCTCATAGGGGAAGCGTTTCAATCATTTGTCAGAGGACGAGAGGACCACCCCGCATCAAGTGGCCTGCCTCAGCGAGAATGAACAGGCCAGACATCTATGTTAGGGTCTCCATTTGTTCATGCTGGCAAGCACCTGCCAAAGAGGCTGCGGACAAGCGCCACCGACGAAGTCCTTGGGCCTGCCCCTTGCATTCTCCAGAGGTACAGATCTGCCAAGACGGCAAGCTCGCGACCTCTCCAGAAGGACACAGGCCACGGCGTCCAGAAATATATGTTATATGCCAGTTTGCGACTGCAGGAAGAAATGTAGTATGTCTCATAGACAGATTCTTCTCTGTACTTAAGAAAGATTTTCATGTTGTCTGAAGCTGCAGGCGATGCTCGGTTCGTGGATACCTGCCTAGTAGATGCGTGTCGTGCTCTGGGCATCAAGATCCCATATACAACCAGCGGTCCTTTCTGGGCTATCCGCGACGGGTCTGCTATGCTGAAACCCTTCGAGTGGCTGGGATCGATAGACCATGCGAGTTTAGCGTCATGCCACGACTGTTGATGCGTCTGTGTGGTTCGTAAGGTATACCATCGCACGTGACATCAATCCTGACTTTACGTTGCCGGGCCGCTACATCCTCTATAGTGACGGACACTTCCAGGGCTTGCGCATTTACTCAGATGGAACTATGACACTAACCAGGACCCATCGCACAGCAGACAATATGATGACGAGCCTGCAATCATTGCTGGGTTTTCATTTCAAGGCAGTCTTCAAACTTACGCCGTTTGGTTACGGCTTTGCAGATACGTGCTCATCTACCTCGTTTCATCTCGATTGTGTGGGCGGCAAAACCATCGACAGCGCAGCCGTTGACATTCTGGACTCATGGACTTCGCTACAGTTCCAGCAGCCAGAAGACAATCACTCCCTACGTGAGCCCCAACCACTTCGGACCTTGATGGCAACTCAGCGCCGCTTACAGCTTGCAGGGATCACTGCCGGAGAGTCAGACGATGATGGCTTCTTTGCTGAGATTGAAGTATCATCGGACAGCGAATCTGATTATACTGATGGTTCCGAAAGCTCTGGGTTTTGGGACCCTCCATTCCATGGTCAGCTTACAGAGAGTCTTACATGCCCCTGGGATGAATCTATATTATATTGTTCCTTTTCGCAACACCGTATCTTGTGATGTTGCTCAGACATTAGATTATGTCTAGTGATATCTCCCTGTGCATGTGAAGACCCTGAGGCGATCGGCTCGTCATTGACAATTGCTGTTTGGATGGCTTCTCTTCTGGAGATGAAGTATTGTGCGACAACGACTCTGATACCGATGGTTCCGAAAGTTCTAGGTCTTGGGACCCCGCATTCCATGATCAGCTTGCAGAGAATCTTACATGGCAGTCAGATGTCGTATGTGCAGACGCCTCGTATATCGTAGCTGACATGGATCGCTGTGGTGGGTCCAGTGAGGGCATCGAAGATGATACTTGTGGGAGTGAGACTAGAGCCAGCGCGATATCTGTTTTTCTGCCTGTGGAAGTGATGAGACACTTACCGTCCTTTTACTTCGACCATGCATACCTCCATGCACTTGCTACAGTCTCTTCTTGGACGCTGAACATGGTTCGAGATAAGAAGAACTGGCAAGGTTTGGTCGTTGACATTGACCAACCAGATCTTCAACTCCCAGCTCGCCTCCGGAGCATGATGGATCTGCTGAGCTTGGCCAGATGGGTCTGTGTCAACATTGAGCAGCTGAGTATGCTTCTCATCATTCCAGCAAGTTGCAGACTGAACTGGACACCGGTTTCAATTCCGCGGCCTCCGCAGCATCCGTTCCTCATGTTCGATTTCCGCTCCAGAAAACCACTTCTGGGTGTGGCAGACTTCGACATAGTGCTGCCTGCAGAACTGAAGGGACTCATGATCGGCGTGAGAGAATGGCGGGGCAACGTGAGATTCTACTGCAGAATCGATAATGTCTTCCACAGATCCATTACCTGGTCTTTGGGTCTAAACGACAATTCACCCACTCCGTATGGTCGGGCAAGCCGGTTTGCGCCGCTCCCAGACCAAAGCAACCGGTTTCAGATCCGGTGGAACAAAACTTTCTTTGCCATTGCGCTCAACAATGAAGGAGTGCTGCGTGCTCGGGTAACAGAGTCTGACGAAGGCCTGGCTCCTGCATTATCTCAAGTTTTCGTTTGGGGGTTCGGACCAGCCCATCGAAGTTCTCTAAGACCACGAATCGTTGCCAGACCCTCACTGATTCAACTCAACGCCTCGATCCGGTGTGCTATTTGCCGTCAAGAGCACACCATATTGATGCCACGTTGGTGTGTGTGTCCAGTGTGCACTACGTGGGTCTGCGCATCCCATGTGGGAGAAACGCCAGGGCGAAGATGTCCCAATTGCGTTTCTCAGCTTTCTGACTTTTTGGGTGGATCAGACCGTGCCACCGGAGGCCTGCCCGTGGAGCATTTGCAGGACGACCACGACACGGCCAGCACTGCCGTGCTACGGCCATGCACCGAGCTGGCGAGTCACAACTCCTGCGATCTCGACACACATCTGCATATCGATCTCTACAAGAAAACTATATCAGCTGACGGAATCATGGAGAGAAAGCCGTACGGCTACACCACTCGCATGTTCCACAGGGTCGGATGGACCAGACTTGAAGTGAATCGCATGATGCAGTTTGCCGGCGTTATGAACAGCAGTTTCAATTCGATGTTCAGGAGAGCTTTTGTGTGGTTCGGACCAGCCCATCGAAGTTCTCCAAAGCCACAAATCCTTGCCAGACCCTCACTGATTGAACTCAACGCCTCGATCCGGTGTGCTATCTGCCGTCAAGAGCACACCATAATGATGCCACGTTGGTGTGTGTGTCCAGTATGCACTACGTGGGTCTGCGCATCCCATGTGGAAGAAACGCCAGAGCGAAGATGTCCCAATTGCGTTTCTCAGCTTTCTGACTTTTTGGGTGGATCAGACCGTGCCACCGGAGGCCTGCCCGTGGAGCATTTGCAGAGCTTGACTGGAGCTATTCAGGAATATGTCTTTCTTCGAAGGATTGAACTCCTGGAAATGTGCTGTCTTCGGCATTTGCATGAGCTAACGTCTTTTCCTGGGCTGTGGAATCTGTATCCATCGCCGTTTGCTCTGCCTGCAGACGATCAAGGATGGCTTCGACAGCTCGGAATGGCGACGCGAACAAGTCAGCAGTTGGTGCCCTACGTTCCGGCAGACGTCGTCATTCACACGCAGGCCAATCAAAGTCTGACTCACCTGGAACGAGGCGTGAAGCACTTGGGAGCTCTTGTAAGACTTATGAGACAACTGATCCCGTTCCATGAGGCAGTCGACGTGAGTTTATGGCCGTCCCCTTTCGATGTTTCAGTCAGTAAGAGGAAGTGGGAGCAGTGGTGCCGTTCTGTCAGGGTGCCGACGCGACTACTCAAAGAAGACGGGATTGAGAACAACCGGCCAGCGCTATCTAGACGTGGAGGTGTCGGGCATCTAACCCATGAAAGCCGTGGCACTGGCACGGGTGGTGAACTCTTGATATCCGATCTTGATGATACTGCGGCGTCGCACGATGTGGACTTCTTAGGGGGTTCGGCCGCTTGGGTGCAACAGTGCATGTACTTTTGTTTCCCACACAATCATGTCTTTGTTCGTGCGACAAGAAACAATGAACTAGGCCAGTGACAATATGGATGTGGACGAGATTACCGAAGAAGGTACGTTCGCCTGGCAGAAGAATGCGAAAACTCCCATATTCCAGGTGCCTGACGACCATGACACGGCCAGCACTGCCGTGCTACGGCCATGCACCGAGCTGGCGAGTCACAACTCCTGCGATCTCGATACACATTTGCAGTTCGAGGCGGAGGGCCACACTTATTTTTACAAAGGTGTGAAAGTGGGATGCAGTGTCACTAAGTAGCACCAGGCGATGTGTATTGACTTTATGTGTTTAGTTCACATTACACGTGACCATCGCTCAATATCTCAGGTGACGACTCTTATCCACCAGTATTCGGAGGACTTTGACCCGCTGCTCGCATTGTCCAAGATGAAGAACGGTACTCGATGGCCTCGGTCTGAATACTTAGATGCAGAGATGAATTTTTCCTCTATCGCGGGCATGCTCAAGGGCTTGGACTTCAGATATCAAGCAGACCTGGTTGCACTCCTGCAAGAAGACAAGCCTGACGTCGATGAGATCTGTAGACTTTTCTGTATATCCCGTTCAGAGTTGAAGGATTTGGACAAAGTCATTGAACAATTCGTCCTGCACGACAACGAGATCATCTTGCTTTGGGAAACTAAGAAGAACTGCGCCTCCAACTCAGGCACATGGATGCACGCCATGCTAGAACACCTCTTCAATGGCTACCAGATTATGGCCGGCAAGATGCAAGGCGAACTGAACGCTGCGGTGAGAATTGTGAGTCAAATGGAGAATGCGGTAGTCTACAGGACGGAGTGGTGTATATATGCACCGGAAGAGGATGTTGCAGGTTCGATCGACATGGTTCTTAAAGACGTCAACAACGACGTGCTTTACCTCCTGGACTGGAAGCGCAGCGAAAAGCTGGAGGAGAAGTATAACAGTTACGGCAAGACCATGCATGCCCCCCTACAAGGAATCAACGACTCGCAAGGTCACCATTACAGACTCCAACTTAATATCTACAAGTGGATATTGGAAAAGTACTACCACGTGAAGGTGGCTGGCATGAAAGTCGTATGCATACATCCACGGTATCTACCAGACGGTTTCGTGGATGATGTGCCTGACCTTGCAGATGAAGTTTCAGCTCTGATGCAATGTAGAAGAAACGAAAAATTAGCTGTCTGTGTACAACCTGAACCTCAGGAGCCTGCGCCGCAACCACAAAGAGAAGGGCTTGTTGTCCCAGAGACGGAGACCGGTCAGCCAAGTCTCACGCAACCATTTCAGATATTGCCGAACACTCAAGCGTCAAACGGTTATCGTGTCGAAGAAGATCTGGAAGCGATGTTCGAGGACATGTTCGAAGATGAAGCGGATGCTGCCCGCATGGCGGCAAAGAAGCGTCGTCTTCTACCAGGTGCAGCAGAACACTCCGACAGATTCAGATCAACGTTTCAGCGGTCTCATGACATTCTGAGAACCACACTGGATGTTTTAGTAGCCGACAGGAGTGTTCAACCAAACACTATTCTGCACAGCACGAAGAAGTCGCTGCAGGAACTGAGAATGGATTTCCCAAACGTCTCGGACCAGATCAGGCGACTTGTGCTAGTCGCAGCCCACTTGACCGAAGGTAAGATCTCCGACAAGCCCATGCTTGCAGATTCGGCTGCGTTGCTTTGGATGGTCGAGGGTGATCGGCACTTGAGGGTACACAAGGGATTCCTTTACATATACGATGGCGATGGTTGTTTTCAGCCATTCGGCGGCATCCCGCCAGAGGCCGTGCTCCATCGGGTCCACGACTTCTTTGTCTACCTGGAAGGCATCCTCCGGCGCATGAAGCCAGAGAACAGCCGCAGAGCTGCCTCTGTCGCCCGTGCCATTGTTTCCGATTTACAAAGCTTCGAGACCGAAGATGATTTCCTACAAGCATGTAGAGACGCAGTGAACAGGCGTAGCACGACTGCAGCTTACCCCTCTAGGCTAGATGCAGCTGATGATGAGGTGGCGAACCAAGCGCAAGCCGAAGCAGCGTCCGACAATACTTGGACCATAGACGCGGCAGAAAAGTCATGGAAACTATCATGGCACATCAGGACTGAGCTGATGCAGACTCGGATGATTTCTCTGTTGGTCGAATGGTGCGAAACAGAAGACCAAAGATCATCTTCTGTCACCTACGACGACGTATGCTTCGTGTACGATTCGCCAGGATCAGATAGTCCGATCGATGTGGTCAAAAAGAGTCCAGCCAACAACTGCTATGTTCGCATCCCTCATCCTTTGCTGGATCCAGTTATGGAGAACAAGTTGGAGCGTCTCGAGAAGTTCTACCAGCAGACATTCTGGTGCAATCTAGATGTCTTCAAGTGCTTCCAAGCAGCCACGGCTATCGCCAAGCGCGGATACAATGTGGACAGATGCTTCATTGGCATATCACCTGGAGGAGTGGGGCAAAGTTTATATTCGTTGCATCTATCCGAGATGTATAAGCAAAACCATACCTTTTTCGACCCCAACATATGGCACCTCGACGAAGAGCTTCGCAAGCAGGTGGAAACGTTTGCACGATGTTTCATTATGACAGGCCAGGAAGCACCGGAGACCAGCAAGAAACTGCATATCGATCTCTACAAGAAAACTATATCAGCTGACGGAATCATGGGAAGAAAGCCGTACGGCTACACCACTCGCATGTTCCACACGGTCGGATGGACTAGACTTGAAGTGAATCGCATGATGCAGTTTGCCGGCGTTAAGAGCAGCGGTTTCAATTCGATGTTCAGGAGAGCTTTTGTGTGGAAATCCAAAGCTCGGTTCATCCACAAGAAGTTCTTAGCGAAGTACATCGATCATGAGAAGGACGGAATCTTCGAAGCAGACCCCAGTCTGAACAAGTTTTTGTCCACATCTCAGGCCTCCATTGCAGGATTGCGGTTGCAGTGGGCGTTTGAACGGGATTACAGCAAGGACGACTGCTATCAGCTGATAGAAAACTACTGCAATGGTGGAGACGGTTTCTTGACTGAGGATGTCATGCGAAATGCATGTGGCTTGCCTGTGCGACAAAGACATCAGCAAGTGGAAGAAGGTCTCGGCAACTTGCTCGATGGCGATGCTGATAGTAATGCAGAAAGGGAAGATCGGGACATCAGCTGGAAAAATCTCAGAAGCTCGGTGATACAGCACATGCTCGACAAAGACCTCGAAGTCATGACGTTCTATGAGTTCAAAAAAATGCCTTGCAAAGCAGGAGAACATCCGAACCTGTCGAAGCAGGCCATGTGGGACGAAATGCCCAAGCAAGAGGTGGTTCGCACTGGCATCGCGAAGCCGAAGACGGGCAAAGAAAGACCTGGTGCTATCATTCCTTCGTTCATCTTCAAAAAGAAGTTTCACGAAGTATGTCCTCAAACTGAAGCGGGCCAGGTTAGAATGCAGTTCCAGGAAGAACATGATCTAGGCCGGCTTCGAAGCTACGCTTACAGATGTGGAGGCAGATCCATCAACGATGACAACATGAAGATGTACTACACAGCGATGTTGCCTGCTTCAAAACGAGGACGAAGAAGTCTGGAACAGGATGAACTTACGACGAAGTACCAGAAACTCATCCAGAAGCTCGAGGACCATTCCGAACACGTGACTTCTCTGCTATCGTCGCAAAAGAGACGCATCTTGGCGAAGACGTCAGTGAATGAAGATGGGAACGCTGCCGTTTCGTCATCATCCATGTCGGCTACATCGGTTGAGTACAAGTATTCTGACAAGCAGAACTACAGCATCCATGGTCGTCGGTACGGCCCGAAGGGCAGTGCTCAGAGCACATCCCGTCGCTTGCAGAAGTATCTTGTAGACGGTCACACCGTTGATCTGGACATCCACAACTGCTGCTTGACGCTGATCCATCAACTTCTGCAGAAACTTAGTCCTGATCCTCCCTTGGCTGATGACCTTGCAGAAGTACTTGACGAAGTCACCCACAGACGTGCAGACTTTGTGGCCAAGCTGAATGTGCAGATTTCCGAAGGCAAAGACATTATCACTACCGTTTTCAACGGTGGTGCTCCACCAGGAAAGCTGAAAGACAATCAGCTCATCAAGAAGCTACAAAAGATTGCATTGTATGTTCGATGGGTGGCGTGCAATATTCTTCACGACGACTACATGAGCTTGGCCGACAACAAGCTGAAGTCTTTCCCTTCTGCCACCATCATGTCTCTCATGTGGCATGCAGTCGAAGACAGTATCCTCCAGGCTTGGTCCGAGCACGTTCTGATGGACAATCCCAAGCACTTGTCGCTGCACTTCGACGGCATCCGGGTGTCGGCTGACAAGGTTCAGAACTCGGAGGACTACATTCGGAAATGCCAAGCCGTCGTCAAAGACAGGACTTCCTTCGACGTGAAGATCATGGTTAAGACACATGGATCGTTAATAGATCTAATTCAAACTCGTGGAAACGTTGCGAACAACCTGACGAACGTGCCCGCAAAGCTTCTGGAAGCTGGCAATTGCATTCCATGCAGTTTGTGGCATTCGGATCCCTTGTCCAGAACGACTGTGGCCGCTGCAGTACTTGACGATGACAAGGCAGAAAATGCAGAGGCCAAGAAAACCAGGTACAGAACCTATCGTTCGGTTGCCACCATGTGTGGTCTCGACATCGTAAGCTGTCTTGGTCTGCCCCAGCCCCATGTGAAAACCTTCCTGTTGCATTACGAAGGGAACGGATCGCCACATTGCCTGTCGGTCCGGCTGGAAGGCGACACAGCTACCTTGATCGATGGCAACGTCGTATACAAGATTCCCGTAGGTGCCTTCCAGGAAGCTTGTGCTGCAGCTGTGGATCGATCAACTGTCGTTTCACATTGGAAACGCGACGCGAAAGATAAGCTCGATGACAAGTCTACATTGTTGTTGGACTTGGTCGCAGGTGCTACCTCTGGCACATCCGACGAGGAGACAGACATGGACATCGACAAGGGCTTTGGAAAAATAACACACGATGATGAAGACGAAAACACTCCTGTCATATCTGACGGGATTCTTCAGTCACCCTGTCAAGAAGTGGAGGACGTTCTGGACAAGTTGAAGGAAAATTCGCTTCGACAGGGCGGTCGGAGACATTGTCCATTTTGTCCGTTTCGTTCATTTGCTCAACTGCGACAACTACGGACACACATGACCAACCACCACACCGAGAAGAATCAGTACGTCTGTTCTGGTACGAAGCAGATCAAAGTCATCCTGTCACTGTACGACCATGGTGCTTCATCACAAAGCAGAGTGGAAGAGCTTCTACAATCCAGTGCATCGTTGTTGCGAGCCACCATCCAGCCATCACTGGAGTCTAACCGCAACTCCATCGACAAAAAAATACGATTGATCTTGGATGCCACTGGTCCTCGGTATGTGAATCTGGAAAGTATCGGTACAACAATAAAAGCCAGAAGAGTGAAGAACATGTACTACACGCACTCCTTTGCGGATTTGCTGCTACGAGAGATGGTACTTGGTCACGCGCAGGCAACTGAGCGGATAACAAACATAATGTTGAGGCAGTGACTAATATTTCTTAACAGCGGCTTAGTCTTTTCTGCCTATCATCATAACAAGTGTACATGTAGTCTCATCGTCCGTCGCTCCATCAGGTGCGGACGCTGGCTACACGGTGTCACATCGAGGCTCTGAAGTCCGGATGTAAACTTTCTACACTTCTCCCCAGCAGGGTTCCCCACTGGACGCCTATGTTGGAGGATATCACCACGTCCGAAGCTTTCAAGAACAAGATGGAGCAGATGCTTACGGCTTTCTCCAAGCACGATGAGTGGCATTACATCAGCATGGATGCCACTCTCAAGTTGTGCATGAAAATCATGGGACAGGCTCCTTACAGAGCTTCCAAGCAAGTTCGGAACGACGCTCCGTTCGGGGACGACGTGGCATGGCGGCGGCTCTTGACCGTGCGGGGTCGCACCGGAGCTGTCCTTCTCATGGAACCTCTTCCAAAGGAATCATCGGACTACATCGTCGGCGCCATCTCGGATAACTTTTCGGAAGCTCAACTCGTCTCAGTGCACTATGTAGGAACAGACAGTCCATCGGAAAAGCTGTATACAGAATTACGGTCTGTATGCCCGAATTTGCGAGCGCTCATGCTGGACCCCATTCATCTTGCCATTGTATATGAGTACGGGTTCTGGAATAAGAAGAGTCCTGGCTCCAAGAAGCTGCGACACATCCTGCGAAAGTGCACGGCCGTCGACGAAAGGGTCGATGCAAGACACTGGCTTGCATTCTACGACGGTGCAATGGCCAGGCCATTGAACGAGGAGGAGGTGAAGTATCGTGATATGATATTGGATTTCTCCATGTCAGAGCGTGACGCCAGCAGCATCCTGGATCATGTACAAGAGGATCAACCTTTCCTCCACAGACTTGATTTCATAAAATCGATTGCTGCCCTATGCCGACGATACAAAGGCGAGGTCGTCCGGAAGGCTCCTGGGCCTAACAAAGAAATATATCGCATTTTGTGGTCTGCGTGCGCACCAGATCGGGTGGAATGGCTGATGAACAATGTGAGAGTGCGGCACTCTATGCATGCATCATACTTATGGTTCCTTCCGAGCGGCACTGCCAGTAATGAGGCCTTGCACGCAGAAGTTAACTCATGGACGCGGAGCATTAACGTGATGCACCGGTCCACACTCGCTTTGAAGCTTCGTTATTTCAAGTATATCAAGATGCTCACTCACTACCTCGCGACAGAGCATCCTATGTCGCATGTGGTTAGTGCCAACATGCTGATAGGTAGATCGCTGCATGAGTCGCTGTGGAGCGTACCCGAATGGGATGCGTGGTGCAGCGAGCAGCACACGGATGGAGTGCAGAGCAAAGCTCGACTTCAACTTGCCAAGTCCAGGCAAGCCGAAGTCAAATTGGTGCGGAACTGGGCTATGAAGACTATGAAGAAGCCCGCTGCGAAATCTTCCAAGCCTCAGAAGAGGCGAGGGCGTGTGACTCCTTTGTCAGTCAGACGCATGCACACATTACGTACAGCAGGTGTGAAACAGTCTGGCTCTGACTAAAGCTTTTTTTGTGCATCTTCCCGACGCGCATTGGGAACAAAAAGAAGCTGCATCCAACGAGATTGCCGTGATTCTGCTACCCAACGCTATGCGTGTTCCAACATTGTTATACATGTCTGTGCCAGGTGATGGGCTGCATTCATCTGAGGAGGCCCGGCACCTGGGACTGATCTGTGTGAAGTTGTTCTGATTATTAGAGACTGGAGACTAGATTTAACACTTGTGACGATGTACGAGCTACGACTGTGTGCGCTAGGCCATCCATCCCTCTTGCTACTTGGAGATATTGCAAGTATCTGGGCTAGAACGAAGTTCGCCTGCTATCGTCGCTCGACAGGACAACATGTCTGCAGGACACGTCTGAAGAACCAGATAACTTGACTTATACAGCTACGAAGCTTTACATCCGCGCGGCCACTTTGGATAAGTTCATCAAAAGGCTGTAAACTTGAAGTACCCACCCTTCCCACACAGGGGATCGGTTAGCCGAAAGCTACAAACGATCTACAGGCTAACTGGGATATTTGCTTCATCCATGAAAAAGAGAGAAGCTGTCCATGCTAGCTGTTGTTGTGTTGCTCCGCACGTCGTCGCTCGGCTAGCTTCGTCGTTACTACTATTACTACCGGAGGATGGTAGAGACGATCTCCAGGCTGCACGATGACAGCAAGCAGACGAGGTCGGGCAGCTCGGGTGTTATATAGTTCACACATGCCCCGGGTGCAGGACCACGTCTTGTGCCGTTTCTCAGTATTCTTGCCTACACACACGGGATCACTTTGTTGACCGCAGTGTTGTAGTGCTATATTATTATTACTCCGCACAGAACTTAACTCTGGCGCAAGAAATTGAGTAGCTACTCACAAAGCTGCAGTGCTACCCAACGTGCTAGTCCTCTGGCGAACCTGAGGATTGAGTTATCCCTACTGCACAGACAACTCGACGAGCTTCTCTCCCGAGAAATCGGCACGGAATGCAACTTTGGTGCCTGAAACGAAGTATCTACTCACTAGCTGCCGTGACATTCAACATGCTAGTGGTCTAGTAAACCTGATGATTGAGCCACCTCCGACTGCACAGACAACTCGACGAGATTCTGTTCCGAGAAATCGGCAGGGAACGCAACTTTGGCTCAAGAAACTAAGTACTCGCTCCCGACAGAGGTGTAAGCAATACTTACTATGATTATTTTGGTTGGAGTGTTGTTGCTTTCTGTTTCATAGGATTCGGAATGATATTGCTACAGGTACCAATTATTAAAATTCGCCTGCCTGTATAGGTGACAATGTATATTAAGCAGGATTCATAGTGGCAGTAGTGTCGGCAATAATGCGAAAAATATTATAGACCTAAGTAATGCTAAACTTTTCAGAGTGTAAGTCTTGTAGTATAATATGTAGGAATATATGATTTAGCTAGGGATCTTATATTGTATATATGGCAAACTAGTTAAATAGACCCCAAAGGTATCGGGCTCATATATATATATATACATAAACATATATTATACAAATACATATATATATATACACACACACGCTTATATCCGTTTTCGCTTTTCTGTTTCAATACATCTGTATGCATGTATGTATATATTACAAGCATATGCAGACCGGACAGGCACAAGCACAAACATAGCTACACATACAAATGCATGCACATATGGATGCGCCGTGCACACACTTTACACATACATGTGCATGACTACCTGCTTGCATACATGTATAACTAGACATATTTACACACAAACACTCGTGTGTGTATGTATGTATGTCTGTGTGCTATATATCTAAATGCGCATATACTACACACATAGACAGCAGTCTCAACATGTACACATATGCACGCACATGCAAATCTGCAAGCCGCTTGCCAGGTTTCTGCATGTATATTCATGCCTACATGCATTCTGCAGCCAATGCATACACTGTGCCGCGTTTCAGCGTGTTGCGATATAAACTACGTAATTCCACATCACTTTGTTTACAATACACATTGCAGTAAACTGCATACTGCTGCAGTACAGTGCGTTGCGTTGTAATATACCATCTAATTACATATACTTTCCGCATGCATTGCATCACGTTCCATGACGTCGCATCACATTCCAACGGGTCAGCGGTGTAGGGTTTAAGGTATTCGTGCATGCACACATACCTGCATGCACAATCACAGATGGGTGCGCGCAGTCTGCTATTTGAGCCACTTCTGTTTAGTGTTTATGCTGTCAATATGTCATTCTCACATAACACATACAAGCGACACTGTTGCAATCATGTTGTCGAGGTTCCTAGACATTCTGTCCCATCACTGAGGGGGCTGTTCCTGACCGGCCTCAGAGCGACCGGCACGGCGAATCAAAGTCGCCGATCGCGGGTGGGTAACTCTAGCGGCTGGGACTTGAATCGATCAATTGTTTTAACTGCGCCATAGACATAAATTGAACTCTGTACCTAAACAGACCTAGATGATAGACCCAAATTCAATCGGAAGCAGCCTTGTTGTCAAGACCCCGAGAATGAGACCTTAGATTTCTGACCTTTAGTGGTCTGCCAAAAGCTGCATCCTGACAGCCTTTCCGAGATCCGAGATGCAGGGCCGCCCTAAATTAGAATCCTAAATCATTATTACCCCGAGGGTCCATTGGCCCGATAATTAGGTACTCGGCTTTAGGATAGTAGTTGTGTTGGTTAGGATTTTTGGAGAGTATATGATTATCAGGTACTTGGACCCCTGGGGTTAGTCAGTACTTAGACCCCCCAAAAGTAGGTATAGTAATGGCCCAACACCTGTAAAAGGCTGTTTGTCTTCATGCTTCGAGGGTCCAGGTAGTACTATTTTCAGCTTCCTTGTGTTATATCATACCCGCGAGCGATGTGTTCATTATCAGGGCCCGGGTGTTTGTATTTGAAGCCATCGGCTTTGAACGTTTCTCTCTTCAATCAAAGTGTTCGAGGTTTCGGCTTACGAAACGGATCCCCTGCACGTTTTGGCTCCACTCTGCTACCTGCTACCCGAACCCTCAAGACAGGACACACTGTTCGCCTTTAATCCCTGTATGCTTTTAGGGTTTAGAGCTTAGGGGCTTGGGGTGCAAGGTTTAGGTCTTAAGTTGTGTTTGTGGTTGCTTTTTGCGTGTGGTTACTGATACAGCCAATGGGCCAGAACCGTTCTGGCCCATTGGCTGTATCAGTTTGTATCGACTGGTTGATATAGAGCCCATGTTTCACTGTGATTCAGGGTTGGTTACATTAGCTGTTTCTCCACTTTCACTACTACGACGACGACGACTACTACTACTACTACTATTACTACGCCGGCGACGAGCAGTATGACTTCTCCTGCATAAACCGAAAAGTCAATTTTTTAAAAGATGCACGAGTTGCACAAACATCGTCCAAACCATACACCTCCGATCCCTTGAAAACACTGGCAAGCGTGTCACTTTTGTTACTACTTCTGTGTGCTCGAGGG